TTTTGATTGAACAAACAGATCCAATAAAATTTAAATATATAATAAATGAGGTATATAGTGTAATGGATGATTAGTTTAAAAAAAACTTAATGTCACTTAATACAGCAAAAACATATTACATAAATTTTACTTCAAAAAATAAGATGAAAAGAGATATGGGAGACATAGGAGCTCTTTTAACAAGTATGAATCACATAAAATTTCTTGGCTTAAATATCCAAAATGAGATGAGATCATAAAGAAATTGCTACATGATAAGAAACTTGAAACCAGTGGTATCTACTAAAACTCTAAAAAGTGTATATTACTCATATTTTCACTCCATCATGACATACGGATTAATGTTTTGGGGTAATTCGCCACATGCCGAAAGAATATTTAAGATACAAAAGAGAGCTATCAGAATAATAAAAGGAAGTAGTTATAGAGAATCATGCAGGGAACACTTTAGAAACATGAATATACTTCCATTAAGATCACAGTATATATGCTCCCTGTTAACATTTGTAGTAAAAAGTAAGGAAATGTTTGATACAAACAGGGATTATTATGAAATAAACACCATGCATAATATGGATATGCATATGAACAAGGTAAACTTGATGAAATATGGCAATGGAGTATTTCACATGGCTGTGAGGATGTACAATGCATTACCCATTGAAATTAAAACAACCTTTAATAATACAAATAATTTTAAACATAACTTAAAGGACTTTTTGTATACAAATTCATTTTATACATTGAATGAATTTTTTATTAAGAGATAATCACTGTACAAATGCATAAGTATATGAGATGCTGAGTAGAATATTTAATGACTTCAATAACTAGACTATAATTATAATTATTTTAGTAGAATAATATATGATGTATTTATTTTATATATTATATTTTTTAAAAAACTACTATACAAATAATAACATGTTTGGTGGAGTGTATATGATGAATTCATTTTATAACGAACTGTATGATCAACATTTTTTTTTTGTGTAAATATCTCATCTTGAATTTTATTGAAGTTTTAATGTTTAAATATTAGAGAATAACTTTACTATGATGTAAACAATTTTTGTTATAAATTATACATAGATTTTATTAGAGAATTGCTTGATTGTATTAGCAAGATAATTTGACACAACTCTGTATTTAGGCTCTGGCCTCAAATGGATGTGATGGAACAAGAAATTGACATATGGAATGCACTGTTGTACAGTAGTCTTGTTGTATTGAGTATTTAAAATTTTGATGATGATGACTATCTGATTATGTATGTATATTCACATGTTATATTGTATTGCTGACTTGTTCTATATCTGAGGCAGACGCCTCCATGGATTTTGTAGAACTGCAAATGAATGAATGAATGAATGAACGAAGCCACCGTCCCACACTCTGAGTGAAGAAGACAGATAAACCAAAACAAAATGCTGGAAAGGCATTCAGTCTTCTGGGATACAAAGGCGTGTAGTCCGATGAAATCAACTGACGTTTCCGAGGAACATATCGCGATATTCAGGGTCAAAGGGTAAGCGTAGTTCACGCTAGTTTCTTCCTTAGCTTACTCTTCGACCATTTAGATTGAGGCATGTTACTCCGAAACGTCGATTGATTTTTATCGCACTATATGGCATTATAACCCAGAATATGTAACTCTTCATATTCACTGCCGTGAGAACCTCAGATCAAAGAAACAGTTGAAAATAAATGAACAAGATAAGAGGTAATTACAAAATATGGCGATTCTTGGTATATAATCACGTGCCAAAATCCTTAAAATAAATAAGACGATAAGCTGGCTCGTGTAGCTGGGTATTACGCTTTGGATGTGTATGAAGGCGTGAAGGTAAACATCCACACTTTCTTAGACATCGAGACTACATGGAAGAGGGTACGAACCCCACGGTACGTACTTGGTCTCCCAAGATCCCACATGGACGTTGATGGGAACAGAAAATGCCTCCTACAGGGTCGCCCTTCATTGAAACCAGCCATCGACACAGCTGACACAGGCGCCTGGCTTGTCAGACTTAATATTATCAGATGAATGTAAACTGAGGGATGGACAGTTTATTCAATATTCATGAAAATGGATACAGTATGTAGGAAGTTGTGGTTGAAGAACCTGATCGAAAAATAGCAGTGGGTGACTCAGAGGATAATAGTAAAATGGATAAGTGAAATTTCATTGATTTTGTGAATACTTAATAAATCACAAAGGGGTAGCTAAAATACTATTCTAGAGACTGGCATATATGCACAATGTAGTTGTTTCATACAGCTTCAAAACGTGACTTTACTCTTAGGGAGGAAAATTAATCTTCAAATGAGTGAAAATTAAATGATCAGTAAAATATTTGAAGAGATAACGTAAACGGAAAATAAAGGATACCGGGTGTTGCCAAGCATAGTTAGATTATTCAACTAGAAGTTAGGATGGGGTGGGTATGTAGCCAAGATGGAAGAAACAAGAAAGTTTTATGGAAAGTGGCTTGTTGGGAAACCTGTTCTCGCGAATAATATTCCCATTCAATAATATGAATATATAGCATGAGAACCTGAAAAATAACAGACCAGGAAGAATTTACCCTAAACATCATATGAGCCTCAATGTATGTAAAATTGGGCTAGGTTTCAGCTATTGCTGCTTCTCTTGCAATTCCTCCATTAGTCCATTAGTCTGGTTGGCTTACAGTCATTGGACTGGCCGCCAATATTAGCAGTTTTCCCATATTTCTACTTACTGGTCATACATTGATACACTACTTAGTAACTAGATAAAGCACAAGTTCATACTTTAAGATGGGCAGAAATATAAGGAAACACAGGGCCATGAATATTAGGCAAAATATCATCCCTAGTGTCAATTCACATCACACCAATGAATATTAATCCGTAACAGAAAACAGATATAGGTTCCTTTCCTAGTATTTACAGCAGTATGTCATGCATCTCTGTGCAAATTCCTTATTTTTAGGCACACTACTACTGAAATTTGGCTAAAAGACATAACAAAAGTAGCTATGTTTGGTTCTTACATTTACAACATGTGTGATTTTGGGACAGAATACTATTACTAAAACTTGGCTATATTTAAGCGTGGTTCACTTTATAAGCTAGTGTAAAATTGGCGCTTCCTTACCTGCAGAACCCTCTATCACGCATTCCTTCGATATTCTTCCGTTATTTATAAGACAGCAGTACTTTCACCACTTCAAAAGTTACCTTATTTCTTCTACGCTCTCACTACTCAAACACGCACAAAATGGCAGATCTTGTGTTGATCGCAGTGTCGTGGATGAAGTATTGGGCAGTTTCTAAACACAAGTTGGATGTTGAATGGGACTATTTTCATGCAGTGGGAGAGCAACCGAAGGAAGTTGCTGGTGGTATTAATTTCTGATATCTGGTTATGATGGCTTTGAAGCTCATGAAAAAGGCTCTTCTTTTTAGATACTCATTTTGAGGATCCGATTAGCCCCTAATAAAAGTACAGTTTATGTTTCTAATCTGCAGTTCTCTCTTACAAATAACGATTTGCACAAAATATTTGAAAAATATGGAAGGGTTATCAAGTAAGAATTTACAAGAGAACTGAACTGCATAATATAATGTGTGTTAAAATGTTTTGAGCTTGCAGTCGGTGAATTGAGGTTATAATTATATTGGCGATGGGTAATCCGTCACTGACTCCACCAGTTCCCATATGACCTAGGCTGGGCAGCCAACAGCTTACATAGTGCATAAGTGTAGCATGCAAATACAACACTTATCAGCAACATCTATGGAGACAGAGAAAATCTCTTAAATCTTGGACACAAAGTCCACAGATACAGCTGATCCCATAAGTAGATTTCATTGTATTCTGTTGCCATGAAGGCTTCAAATCATAGAAATATTCAGATTTATTTCTTGTTAGTCTCAAACGGCATACCCCAGAATGTCTTGCATGACTGACCTTTATATTATATTGAAATTCAGACTACCAGTAATGGTGACAGCTAGGTTCTCCTTTTGTAATCTACTCAAAATCATTATGTATGAGTGGTGCTGTTATGTTCATATTCATTTCATCAATTACATGACACAAGTACCACCCTGTCCTTCTGAAAATTCTTTCATAATAAATGTGCTGTTCAGTCCACTAGCTAAATCCCTCAGGTGTGATAATTCTGCTAAAAGTATTGCATAGATTATCAGTTAAAGCAGCTATTCAGTGGAATGGTCCTTGGGAAGCAAATAGTCATTCATCAAATAATTTCAGGTACAGTAGTCTGTGTAGATAGAGATTAAAGTTCTGTCAACAAATTTCTTCACAGCTCCATTATTCTGGCCATAACAAATGAATTATTAAGCTAAAGAAAGTTGAAGTTAATCTGTGCTTAAGTAAGCACCAGAGTATGAAGATGTATAGGGAAGTGGAGGCAAAGCACCATAGAATTCTTGAGAATTAGGGACAGCACAATTGCACCTGCTGATAGTTTTTGTCTACAGTCTGCTACACAGGAGAAGAGCTATGACCCAGCCAGGCACATTGCATTTGGTTTGTTTTGGAGCAGGTAACATACCAACTTTGAAAAAATCATATTACATAAAAGTACAATCTACTGTCTTAAAAATACAACTTCATTTATAAATAACAATTCAATTCCTTACACACAAACAATGATAGAGCTCTTCTCCTTGATAATGGACAACAGTTTTAAATTTTTGAATTTGAAATAAATTGAATTGAATTGAGTAACAGCAATATGCAGTGTGAACATGATTTGTGGTAGTTTCTAGGGTGATTACAAAAAGCTATAAAATGATTACAGTTATAGCAAATATGAACAATAATGAGACCTTTGTGGCACATCACTTTCTTAAAGTATGCAGGCGAAAGTGCTACAACTCTGTCAGCTGAATTCATCCTACAGCAATGCTCATCACCCAAGAACTGGAAAGGGATTTTTGTAGTGTACTCCTGTAGAATATGTTATGCAAAAATAAAACAGAAGGAAATATGTACAGGATTTATTTTATAATATATTACACTAGTTATAAGCTACAGCATAAAGAAAAAATTACAAGTTTTCTGCAATCTAATAAAAACTTTGCTCAGAATTCATTATTTCTTTTGTCACAGTGTAAGGCACTTGCTATTTACTTGAGAATTCTGCAATAAAAAGCTCAAAGCTATATTTAAATTGATTTCCTCTAACAAAACTGTCATGTATCATACTAACTACAAAAATATCATCTGCAACAATCAGTGGCGACTGGTCATTGGGTACTATACCCTATCAAAGAGCCAAGGAAATAAAGTTATATTAAAATACACTTCAAAATGACTGAAATTGAGATTTTGCTTTGTCTTTTGAATCTGAAGCATGAATGTTGCTTCAAACACACATAGTATTCATACAAATTTGGCAATCTTCTCTTCATTTGTTAAATGGGACTCAATCTACATACATTCATTTGAAACAAACGAGGCTGACAATTCTACAATCATTTTGAATAATTTTAATTGTATTAAAAGACTGAATTTTAGTAAGGGCAGTGTAAATTAAATATATGGGCATATAAATCTAACAGTGACACACTACTTAATAATATGACGTTACTTGCATGTCGCCACTAGTAACAATAATAGACTCTGGAAGATAAAAGATAGTAAGAACAAGCAAATGAAAAGAATGAAAAATAAATAGTATAAAATTGAAGGAAAAAACATTATTCCTTGCCGGCCTTAGATACATGCACATGACTACCAGGAAACGACCATAACATCTGCAATTCTATAATGATTTTATGTTTGTAGAGTATTTCAATGTGTAACAATAAAAGGTGCATATAAATATCACACAAGCAGATTTTACGACTCCAGTCTGTATGTAATAGCAACTGAGAAAATGGTGGAGTTCACTCTATATATTGTTCTTCTCATTACAAACCTCTCCCTGGTTCTCATTTTTCAATTGTTATCACATTTTCTTTATTATCTGAATTTTGGCAGAGTACTGTGTAACATACATATTGAGCAACATATAATAAAATATTTTGTCCAAATTACACATAGCACAGTTTGATAAAACAAGTGTAAAGCAGCTTAAAATAGAAAACATAATTCTTTAAATCATTTAAATTCAAAATTTCAACTGACTAGGAAACCAGGATTTCCCATCCTTAAATGCTAATTGATGTTGCCAAGAGAACGGTAAAGATTCTGCATACATTGGTTGCAAGGCACAATTCTGTTAAATGGTCAGATCATTGGTGGATGTCCTGTGTATCATTGCCAATAATATTTCTGACTGCAGGTTATCAGAAATTAACAATATGTATCATTTAAGGCACTTTTTACCACATTGAAACAGCAGGATGGTATATCACAGAAACTCAAGTGGAATGATTTGTCTCTTCTGCAACACATGCTGGGAAGTGGCAAGTGGAATGGTTTTGAGTTCATGTGTGGAAGACTTCCTTAAGAAACTATCGCAAATGTCTCGACAAGTTCAGCGTTTCTGAAATTAACTGTCCAAAAATAAATGAGCACACTGTAAACCACACTGCGATTTTAAATTCTATACATGCAAGTTCACATGTCATTGGAATATCACGTCCATGGCTACTCGGCTATTAATGGTGGAACACCTGATATGCTGTTTTGTCACTTTCTTCAGATGTTTGGGAAAATAAATTAACATACTGTACAATCCAAAATTAAAAATAGCTTCACACAAAGGAGGCCTCTGGTTGCCATGTACTCGTATGCTCTAATTATGTATCACGATAAAAGTGAAAGAAATGTCATATATACTCATATAGTCTCTTACATTTGAAAAATTTAAGATGTCAGATGTGCAGCTGCTATCTAGTGAATGGCCTCAGGAATCCACAACAAAGAACCATTTCACTGTGTTCTGAATGTGAATGAATACATCCTTCAAGCACTTTCTACTTCCCCATATTCTAGTTAAAATGCTGTTATTGAAGTACTTATTACTATCCTCCTAAACGTACCCAGATATGAATGCGTAATCCACCATTACATTCTTTCCAGTTGAGTTTCTGTGGCACTTCAAAATCCTTCCTTAATGTTAAATCCTAGAAATTTGCTGATATTGCTTAGGTAATAAACGTACGAAATGCCATGGAAACTCAGCAATCACACTTCCACTTTAAAGGGTGAGCCTGGGATATGATCATCTCCCCACTTCACAATGACAATGTATTCGCCTCGATCCCGCACAACATAGTTTACTTGGTAGTTGTTGCGACCCATATGTTTGATGAACACCTCTTCACATGGGCTTTTGGGCCCATACACACCCACATACAGAATATTGTTCCCTGTAAGCAATGAATATCAGCTGTTGTAAGCAACTGTTGCTATTGTTTTCACATTTTATTCCTCAGAATTTCAGTTGATTAATTTGTTCTGTTATAAATATTTTATTGTACATAACAAAGTCATACCCATGTTTTGCATTTTACATGTACAGTGTTCTATTCCATTATAGTTAGTTAAATAATTAATTTTAATTTTATTATGATAATATTAACTTCAACAGAAACAGACATTTTTGATGAATATTTACATCAATTTGATTAAATCAATATTTTGAATGACTTAGAACTAAAAAAAAAAAGCTACCATCCTGCACTTCTGCAGTGACTACCAATACCCACTGTAAACTTCAGTCTGAAGAAACTGAGGATATTTTTGTGATATGGTAAAATGAAGTGAATATTGAAGTCTCAGATGTTATGTCTTCAAAAGAAATTGCCTTTCAAAAACATTTAACATATGAAATATATATCTCTATTTGCTCACACAATTCCTAGCTGTGAATTTATATGCAAATGTTGCTAAACTGATAACCTACTTTTATCAGCACTATTTATTTTAAAAATAGAAACCATATTCTTTAAATTTATTTCCTTTTCACTGATCAAATAGTGTTGCATTCCCAATATGATTTGATCATAAGATGACCACCTTCAGGGGGAGACCAAATATTAAAGCAAATTTTACAGTATGTGCATATAAAAGATTTAAAACCTCTTAAATCAATAAGTGGAACAATAACATTTATAATTAGTTAAAATTAGTGCCCAATACCTCACCTCTTACAAACCAATACAATGATTCCACATATGATCATCATATCAACATTACAAAAAGAGGAGTGTGAGCCTAAGACACATGATACAACATAAACGAAACAAATTTGACATAACTGTATTCAACAGCTACCTATATCAACAAATTTCAACACAACACTAATTTGACTAATTATAAATTTTATCGCCATATTTAAGTGATTTAGATGTTTCATTTTAAATCTTTTATGTACACATACTGCAAAGTTTTATTTAATATTTGTTCTCCTCCTGAAGATGGTCATCTTATGAGAGAAACATGCCAGGAATGTAATAAGTTTTTGATCAGTAAAACAGAAATAGATTAGAAATATCTGAACTGTGATTTCCCATATTATGTTACTATATAAAGTATATCACCAGAACTAAGCCCATTGAACTATACATTAACTTACTACAAATTCTCTTTTTATGTGACTGATTCGTGATACTGAATTTCCTCTCCTACCATTTCTACATTGTTAGTAGTATTTAGACTTGGGGGGGGGCACCTGTCAGTTCACAAGGCTTACCAAATACATGAAGTAGGACTATCTTTTTCTGTGAAATAAGAGTTACATTTTGTCTAAGTTACTGATCTCAGATCTGGAGTCTGACCTCTATGCTCTGGCAATCACACTGTCATGTGAAGAAGTGTGACTGTAGATGGGGTCTGGATTGGTGATTGGATTTATTCTCTGCTTTAACGCACTTTAACAATATAGTTATAATTTCAGATGAATAACTGTGACATTTTTAGGCTCCAGTAGCAAATGTCAACTTCTAACCATGATTTTAACAGAGAGTGAATGTTGTTGAACATAGATGATTTGGACTAAGTACCTGAAATACAAGAAGAAAATATATGTAATAAGTTTATGTTAACATACCTGCATCTCCTGCATGAACTGTGAACATATTCTGCTTTTGCAGATATGCTTTCTTGAGGCCCATGCCTTTGCTAGTCACTTTTGAAGCATCTGACTTGAACAAGGGAAGAACAGGTCCTACTTGTTTGCTCTTGGCCACCTTCTGCACAGTTTCTACGACAACAGATGATGTTTCTTGAGCTCCTCTCTCTGCCAGATCCTCACCTGAAAGACAACATAGGCTGGAAAAAATTCTTATGATAACATTGAGGATAGAGAGAAGAAAGAGGGAGCTAGAAAGGGAGAAATATGGAGACAGGGAGAGGACAGTAAGGTAGGGAAAGAAAGTAAGGTTACAAAAAAGACTGAACAAGATACAGGGCAGACGAGAAGAGATAACTGAGGAGGTAGGGATAAGAAAGAAGAAAGAGAGGGAGGATATGGAAGAGTGGAGCATATTAGGGAGAAGGACAGGTAGATGTGAGAGGGGGGAAAAATAGAGAGAGAGGGGGCAGAATGCAAGGATAGGGAAGAGGATTTGGGGGGCTCAGAAAGTAGGACAGGCTGGGAGAGAGAGGCAGACAGAGAGGAATTTAGGTTGATAGAGGGAGTTACAGAAAACAGATTTAAGGAATGATAGTGAAGGGATAGTAAGTAGGATGAGGGATGTTTGAAGTGGAAAAGGAGACATGAAAACTTAAATGCCTTTTATATGAGGGTCAGTCGAAAAGTAATGCACAACATCTTTTTAAAAATTCAATGTTTATTCTAGACCTTTACTACTTATATAGTATGTTGATACATCCTTTAGGAACAAAATGTCACTTCTCCACATAATCTCCATCCCTTTCAACTGCCTTATGCCACCTTGGAACTAGGGCCTGCGTGCCACCACAGTAAAACTCTGGACCAGCGCGTCTGAGCCACCATTTAGTAGCTGTAATGAGGGCATCATCTTCAAATCTTGTTCCATGAAGGGATTCCTTCGGTTTACCAAAGAGGTGGTAATCAGAGGGTGCCACCTCAGGGCTATAAGGAAGGTGTGGCAATGTTGTCCATCCAAGTTTTGTGATCTCATCCTTGGTTCTCTGACTGATGTGTGGTTGGGCATTGTTGTGTAACAGCAAAACGTCCTGTTTCTGCCAATGTGGTCGAGCTTGAAGTTTCCTTAGGGTTTTCACATATGTGTCAGAATTAATGGGGATTCCTTGTGGCGTGATGTCCACAAGCAAAAGCCCTTCTGAATCAAAAAGACCGTAGCCATAATTTTTCCTGCCGAAGGCGCAGATTTGAATTTCTTTTTCATGTGAGAGTTCACATGGTGCCATTTTTCAGTCTCTTGTGAATGTTTCCCACTGTCTCATTCTCACAAAACAAGAACTCTCTAACAGCACGTTGCTTTTGACGAACATCAAGTGCAGCAGCCACTTTGGAGTGCCATGACAGTACTGCATGTGGGAATGGGTTGAATTAAATTTGAATACAAGCAGAAAGGATCCTTCTATGCACCCTACAAAGAGCTAAAGCATAGAATAAAAACTGATTTTTTAAAAATATGTTGTGCACTACTTTCGGAGTGACCTGCATACCTTATAATGTATTACGCTAAGTGTGGTATTTAAATTTACAACATGAATGATTACAGGTTTAGTGTTCATGGTACAGATTATAAGCATGGAGATAATGGCACCACATATATGCATGCAGAATTAATTCAAACATTTTAAGTATAAGTTTCTGTTACTTGTAGATACATTCTTTACAATGGTAGATAGATGAGATAACATGTGCATACATGATGGGAGGGGAAGGAGAAAATTGTACATACAGTATGAATACCTGTTAACTCTGCTTATAAACATGATGTGGGACCCAAAATTATGGGAATGTATTTATAAACAAAGATCTAAGTGGCCAAATTTTGCATCATGGCCCCTTCAAAGAACCCCTTCCCTAGATGAGAGGTAATACAGGGAGCTTGGCAATTCTGCTATCACCAGAAGCACATCTGAAACTCTTATTTCATATCATTTAGCACCCACTGTGTATATTGCTGAACCCTTAAAATTATTGAGCAAACCTCTCTCCTTTTCACTTCAGTTTAATCTCCAAAAGCAAGAAAAGGTCATACAGAATGAGGTCCAGAGAGTGAGGGAGTTGGGGACAGAAACCATTTTGTCATGATAACTCAACCAGTCTCCATGTCTGGATATTTTCAATAGACATTTTCACACAGATACTGTAGCTTATGTGTAATCCTGATGATTGACAGTTTGACCTGGAAGATGAATATGTGATGCATTACACCACTGCAGTCAGAAATGGATCCAACTTGTTTCTTTTAATGTGGTACCTGTGGAGATTTCCACTGTGATAACTGCTGTTTTATTATAGCATCTTCACTGACAGTTGCTTATGACATGTTACAGATTCTGTCTGACCATACTTTAAACAAAACTTCATGTAAATGTTTCTCTCTCTCTCAAGCACACGTGCGCACACACATATTTATTGTGCCATTACATAGCAACTGCTGCCTCTTTTCTGTTCCACTATTCCGGCTTTCAGCCATCATACCACATCACCATTTCTTATTCTCCACGGGGACATGCCTTTGGCATCTGTGATCATCCTCTTAATTGGCACCTCCACATCATGCTGGCTCCAGTGCTTCTCCTTCCAGTCCATGCAGACAGAACTTTTGAGACTGGCTGGTGCTCCTACAGCGTCAGCATGTAAATGGTTGGTAGTCTTGTCATTCAGTTGGAGGGGGGGCAGGGTGGTAAGAAGGTGTGTGGCTTTTATATATGGTGCCCATTTATGGTATTCCACCATGGCCTCTAACTTTTCCTGACTGGACTCCACCACTTTTTACTAAGCCTTCATCTCTTCTTAGCTGGCTTCCACTGCTTCTTGAATGGCCTCTATTCTTAGCTTCCAATCTTTCCCTGATGGGTACCAGATGTTTCGAGTCTGCCATGATTATCCATCATGTGCATCCCAGTTCAACAATGCACAATTCACTAATTCCAACAATTCAATCCAATCCCACTTCCGACACCAAGTGTCATGTGTTAGTGAGAAGACATAAGATTTGGATTGATAACTGGATTTACTTAACTCATAACTACAAATAATTATAGCACACTCAACAAATCACTACTGCCTACAGCATGTCTTCTTAGTCTGCTGATGTCTTCACTAGTTATTGCTTGGTAGTGATGTCTAACAATGCAACTCAAGACTGACTAACCGCAGACTTCCATCTCCCACTTTGTTGGACCTCACTACACCACCTCGGCATGGACTGCAAAGAAAACATGTTTATCGTGCCATTGCATAGCAACAGCTGCTTCTTTTTTGTTCCAATATTCTGGCTTGTGGCTGTCATGTCATAACATATATATTAAGAAGCAAAATACATTTTACACATCTTCACCAAACAGCTGCATATATTTGATTGACACAACAGAGAATGACGTTAGTCAGACATTCTACTTTTGAACATACACATTTATCACCCAGCTTAAAAAATTTATAATATTATCTGTGACATCACTATGGAAGAATTCTTGTAACTTTTGGTTACCACCTTATATCCTTGTTTAGCAATCAAGCTAGATACAGCACTGCTGGAAATATATTCAGGCTATCATTACATTATTTTGCAATTCCTACCTGTACACGTAACCTTGAATGGTGAGCCCACGATGTGGTAGCCATTGTACTTGATGCTGATGAAGTAGTCACCTGGTACAAGGGGGGTGTAGCGCACTTTGTAACCTTCTTCCACTTCTGTACAATCCATTGACACTTTGGATGGGCCATCTATTGTCACTGCCAGTGTTCCAGCACCAGCACTACATGTGTCAACTAGGAAGTCTGTCTTCTGGCCTGCAGGAGAAACCAGTTTAAAAGTAACAACAAAAGTAAGGCTACTACCACATCTACATATAACCATGATTATCTCTGTAGATTCACTGCTATTAATTGCATGAATAAGCATATAGCCTTTCAAACTAAAATTTTCTTTAACATATCTTTGGAGTGGTTACAGCAGGTCACAAGGGACAAACTTTTATACTACGAACAAAAACTCTATATTTACACATTTTAATATATGATATTAGATTTATTAGTGGGTCAGAAGTTCATGAAGGAACAGACAAGTCTTCAGTTTATCTGTTGAAATTCTGTAATGTTATAAAAGTCATAAATGATTGCTCATCCATATTATGATTATACTATGAAGAGTTCTACTATATTCTGGAATACAATGCTGTGTAGTCTGGTGAAAGTCAACTGATATTTTGGAGAAACATACTGCCTTCATTTTTAAGGCTGAAGAGTAAACCAAGCAAGATACCAGTATGAAGCTGGCAGCAAGCAGAATAATGTTATGCTATACTGATTTTATAATTAAATGTAAAACTTTATTATAAATATGTGAATAGGAAACAGATCAATTCCAATAGATGTTATGCCTACATAAAAAGTTTGTATCACTGTCATGTAGGTTTTGTGTAAATGTGAGCCATGCATTCTACTTAGGCTCCGTTCAGCGGCTTCTCTTCCTATCCCCCCCTTTTTTCTTCTTTTCCTCAGAAGTTCTTGTGTCTATAAAGTTCTTCCGTCCTGGCCTATCGCGTGATCCCCCCCTCCCCTCCAACTGGTTCTGGTTTTTTGGGACAAGTAGGGTAGAGAGAGAAGGACATTCTAGGACAAGAAGTCAGGGAAGGCAGGTAACAAACAAATTCCTTTTGGTTGTGGCCAGTTAAAATTCGGTTTTGGAGTGTTTTCCCGGGAAGGTTCGGGACGAGGAATTTCCATATTGGCGTTTCAAGGTCGCAATATTGAGTCTGTATTTTCTTGTATTATAGTGTATTCTATTACTTGTTTGCTAGAGAGGAGTAGCAGCTAAACTGGAGTGCTCTAGCCCCGATCCCCTAAGTGGCTGTGTTCACTAATATTACGCGATGTGAGTGTTTCAAAGTCGCAATACTGAGTCTGTATTTTCTTGTATTATAGTGTATTCTACTAACTGTTCGCTAGAGAGGAGTAGCAGCTAAACTGGAGTGCTCTAGCCCCGATCCCCTAAGTGGCTGTGTTCACTAATATGACATGACGTGACTGTTTCAAAGTCGCAATACTGAGTCTGTATTTTCTTGTATTATAGTGTATTCTACTAACTGTTCGCTAGAGAGGAGTAGCAGCTAAACTGGAGTGCTCTAGCTCCGACCCCCTAAGTGGGTGTGTTCACTAATATGACATGACGTGACTGTTTCAAAGTCGCAATATTGAGTCTGTATTTTCTTGTATTATATTATATTATATTATTTGTTTGCTAGAGAGGAGTAGTAGTTAAACTGGAGTGCTCTAGACCCGATCCCATAAGTGGATGTGTTCACTAGCATTACGCGACGTGACTTTTTCAAGGTCGCAATATTGGGTTTGTATTTTTCTTGTATTCTATTATTTGTTTGCTAGAGAGGAGGAGTAGCTAAACTGGAGTGCTCTAGCCCCGATCCCCAAGTTGGTGTATTCACTAATATTATGCGACGTGACTGTTTCAAAGTCGCAATATTGAGTCTGTATTTTCTTGTATTATATTATATTCTATTATTTGTTTGCTAGAGAGGAGTAGTAGCTAAAAAGGAGTGCTCTAGCTCTGACCCCCTAAGTGGGTGTGTTCACTAATATTACGCGATGTGACTGTTTCAAGGTCGCAATGTTGGGTTTGTATTTTTCTTGTATTATAGTGTATTCTATTAATTGTTTGCTAGAGAGGAGTAGCAGCTAAACTGGAGTGCTCTAGCCCCGATCCCCTAAGTGGGTGTGTTCACTAATATTACGCGATGTGACTGTTTCAAAGTCGCAATATTGAGTCTGTATTTTCTTGTATTATATTATATTCTATTATTTGTTTGCTAGAGAGGAGTAGTAGCTAAACTGGAGTGCTCTAGACCCGATCCCATAAGTGGATGTGTTCACTAGTATTACGCGACGTGACTTTTTCAAGGTCGCAATATTGGGTTTGTATTTTTCTTGTATTCTATTATTTGTTTGCTAGAGAGGAGTAGTAGCTAAAAAGGAGTGCTCTAGCTCTGACCCCCTAAGTGGGTGTGTTCACTAATATTACGCGATGTGACTGTTTCAAGGTCGCAATGTTGGGTTTGTATTCTTCTTGTATTATAGTGTATTCTATTAATTGTTTGCTAGAGAGGAGTAGCAGCTAAACTGGAGTGCTCTAGCCCCGATCCCCTAAGTGGGTGTGTTCACTAATATTACGCGATGTGACTGTTTCAAAGTCACAATAGTGGATCTGGACAGTCCAATGTATTGTACTGTATTCTACTGTATCTGTCATATTAAACTTTTGTTACTTGGAAGTTTTAGGGGGCCATTGTAAATACTGCTTAGACATCCTTTATATCTTGGGAGGTATTAAGAACGCAACAACAAGAACTAGCAGACGGAAGCGGCGTCTTCCCCTTGATAGGAGGAAAGGTAAAGAGGGGAGGGTCATCTCAAATGTTATGTGTGCTGAACTGAACACCAAACTTAACACCACTCAGCAATTCAAAGGCACACATACACACATAAAAGTTCTTCCTTCCTTCATCAATTAATTGGGTCATATAATAATTGGGTCATATGTTAATGTGAACCAATTACGCTGGCCTACATGAAATTTAGGTGAGCCATTTAAGTTATGCAGGTTACCAATAGTAGTTGTCTAACTTGGTAAAATACTGTGTAGCTACATAATTTGTACTGAGAGAACTGTGACTCATGCACAGCAGTTATAGTTGGGGTATATTTAGAGTCACAAGCCTCAGAAGTAGTCTTCTTATTTCCTTGTGATTAAATGCTATTACATGGAATAAATATACTTTTAAACTGGCAATGATCACTCACCTGTCTTCACCTCACCCAGCCCATTTCCATGCGCATGGACTGCTGCTGGGTCTGCATCCTCTTTACCAACTTTGATGCGGTATGGTGAGCCTGGGATGTGAACACCATTGAACTTCACATGGATGTTGTGAATACCATTTTCTCGAGGCATAAACCGCACTGAGTAAGTGTCAGAATCTATTGTCTGGATGAAGCAATCATCCTCAGTTCCAGATGGGGAAACAATCTAAACAATCCAACATAAATTTATGTTATAATTGTCCCATAATGATACTTGTCACCTATACTTTCTGGAGCTGCCCATGATTTCACATTTCTAATGCAAAGATTTGTTGAACTGCCTTTTCAGTTTCTGTCTATGCCACGTAACTGTAAACTTTTTCTATGGAAAGAGTACATCATGTCTGCTATGATCTGTGCTCCAATTACTGACAAACTATTCACAAAAATCTCTCAGGAAGTAACCATTATTGTAATTAGTAGCTTCCAACTTGCAATTCAATCTTAGCATCTCTAACATATATGTTCAAATAATTTCAACATAGCCAATAATTTCAGTTACCTGAGACATTTATTATTCATATAACAGTATAAAATTAGTCACTCTTTTAAACTGAAAGATTTTTTTTAACAAACTACTAGTCAGTTAACAAGGTGTGTATACTGATTAAATAAAAATGTTATAATCAATTGACAACCATAGTATTTTCTTTTTCTTTCACTGGAAATGGGAAACTATTTACAACTTTTGATTTTTTACACTGAACTGTATGGAAAATTTTGTTTGTAACACTCATGATTATTAGATAAATACTGAGAAAATAAACAACCAATAAATTTTCAGTAATGAATGAATTTTGACATGCCTACGAAAGTGCTACATTTCTGCAAACACAAAACAGTTGTTTCACACTGTAACTGCAGTTCTTGACATTTCTTCCTGGTACCATGGGAAACCTGGGGCAGTCCAACACCCAAGATGGAGGACCACTACTTGTTGGTTATCCCCAAAATTAAACATATTCACAGGTTACCTCCATGACTCACTCACTCACTCACTCACTCACTCTTGGAGCTAAGCCCTTCTGGAGGAGATGCCAAGTCTGCAGCTACTCAAGAATTTCCCAGCATTTTATGGAACCCAAAGGTTCATTACCATGTTCACAAGAGTCCTCCACTGGTCCCTATCCTCAGCCAGATCAATCCAATTCATACCATCCCATGTGGTCCTCCAGCTTGGGGGTTGGGTGTGGGGCTTACAACTCCTCACCATAAAAATAATCACGTTATGAAAATGAATACCTCCATGACTGGAGAACATTAACTGTAACTGCAACCTATGGTCATGCCATGTCATGATGACATGGGTTCCATTTACGATGATCCTCAAATAATTACTGATGTCGGTTCTAAATCTATTACAATGGGGCTATTGAACTGCAGCAGATGTAAGCAGTAGTATGAGTAGTTACAGTACCAGGCAAAGTGGAGAATTTAAAGATAATATTTTACCTTAATTATTGCTGTTAACCCTTCAAAGCAGAATGCTGCTATATGTACCACCTGCTTTGGCATTTACAAAACACTGTATTTTGGCACCACCCAATATAACCAAGAGTGGCGTGTGGATTAATGAAGCAGCTGATTTCACCAGTTTAAATCACAAGATGTACCTTAGCGTCCAGCTCTCCCTTAGCTCCATTCTTCCGCACAAGGAAGGCTGCAGGCTTGTCTGCTTGTACGCCAGCACTTGGAAACTGGAATACCTCCAGCTTGTGTGCATCCCCCATTGCTGGGGAGATGAACAGCTTGTAAGGGGAGTCAGGGATGTGTTGATCATTGAACTTGATTCCCACTCGGTATTCACCTGAAACAGATAATTTCAGTTATATGCACACCAACATAACAGCTACCACACATTGCTGTCTCAAGTAGGTTATGTTTTCCTACAGATCTCAAAATGAAAACAAACAATTCAGGTATTTTCCTTGACTTCTTGGTTGTGTCCATTTTATGATCATGCATTTCTAAAGTAGGTAAAAAATAATAACCCTGGTGTACTATCCAATTAACACTATCCTGAGCCATAGAAGTACAATTCACATCCTGTATTTAAGCATCCTGTTGCATTACTATACCTAAAATTGTTTATTGTACTACACACTCTGTCAACAATGCAACAAATTGTTCCTTCTTTCTTCCTCTTTCACTTTCAACACAACATGTTTCGGCCCTACATGGTCATCTTCAGGTGTCTTACCATGCTAAAACTGCTACACTGCACTAATATTGTCCATTCACCACATATGCGGCTGCATGGTAAGACATCTGAAGATGGCCATTTAGGGACAAAATATGTGTCAAAAGTGAAAGTGCAAGAAATAAGGAACATTTTGTTGCATTGTTGACAGACTGCGTAGTACAATAAACAGTTTTAGATACAATTTACACCTTCATAATTTAGTTTTGTAAGTTATATTTCAGTATTCTTCTCCCATCCATATCTTTCCCTCTGAAGTGACCTCTAGCCCCAAGACTCTTCAAACAAAATTCTAGATGCATAGTAAGGGAATCATCAGTAAATCAAGGGATGTGCTAGGTTCAAATATCAGCTGGAACAGTATGCCATGACTACTTCCTTCTGAATACTTTCCAATTCACAATTCATCATTCACCATTCATCCTGCCATTTGATGCTATACAGTCAAGACACAGACCACATTGTTAAATACCCCTCCCACAAGCTTTGAAATTATGGTCTTCTGAGCTGTAACACCGTGTAGTTTGGTAAAAGTTCACAAGGTGGCTGGCTACTTATTCTTGGTTTCTTTCTTGGCTTGTGCTTGACCCTGAATATGGATGCAATATGTTTCTCTGAGACACTGGTAGACTTCCACCGACCTACATGATGTTACAATCCAAAAGACTGTACTCTTCACAGTCACCTCTGTGAGAACCCAGTGAAAACTCCGTTTTTAAATTTAACATTCAAGTTTGCATAAAAATGTTTCATTTTCAGTGAAACATCCAAGGAATAAAACTAGCAATCTCCTACTTGTGACATGAACATGCAGTAATCACTTTCTTGCTGCTGTATAGTCAACTCTTTACACAGGTGACATTACATTTCATTTCAAGGAGTTGTATTAACCTTGGACTAAAACTTTGACAATGGTACAGCACACTCATATGATATTTTCAATTAATTCTCAGTATTCTTAAACTGTGGGAAGATGCCATCATGCTGGTTAAACTCTGAAATATCTTGCAATGCCAACATTAATGTTGCAATTCATCATACCAATAATGCATGACATGTACTACCAAGAATATTAAATTTTCAGTACCAAAAAGAAACTGGAATGTCTATTATGAAATGAAAAATTACTTAATTCAATGCCAGAATTATTTATCTGTACAGTTACATGGCAGACAGGATGCTCCTTCAATTGCTGTAGACACTCTAGAATGTCAGTATTACATCAACAGAAAAATATCTCAGAAGTCTTGTTATATGTGCTTATTTGAGACATACATGAATTAATGGTTTCCATTCCTGGTAAGGTAACACACAACAACAGTATTTACAAACACAGGACAGCCACCTACTCTGTAACAGTATCTAGTACTCAGAATCACTGGACCCAGTGATTGAGGTTAGCTCTTTCTAAGGGGCCCAACAAAGTATGTCCCCCCATTTGAGGACAAAAACGGATCCAGTTTTTGAAACGTTCTGTTTTCTAGTTTTTAGAATACTGGACAATGGGCAAAGTCTGAAAACGCAGTAATTCTGAATGTTATACATCATCGTCAGAACCCTTTAGAATGTACTATCTAGTACCGTCTACAGGAAGTTCAACAAAGAAATGACAGAATATGCAAAAGTAATGTAATTATGTTGAACTGAACATACAATGAGTTTCTGTCTCAAGGAGATATATAGAAGATATGAGAATGTTGAAGTTTTGGTTTGAGTTTAATGATCACCAATGACAAGTTGGTTAAGCTTACATACAGTAGCACATAGACCTGTTGCTATGCAATGACCACAAGGTGGGTGGATATACTAGGGCCGTTTCTTGGCAACGGCTCAGTAAACACATTCCTGTTGCCAACCAGCAGATACTTAATAATGCACCAGTTGGACTCCAACAATGGAAGAACTGTTTTTTCTTTGTGGTCCATGCCAAGAGGTTATAAGCGAGGACTTGAGCTGGAGGCAGCAAAATAGCCATTGTTGGAGTTATTGCCAGGAAACCTCTAGTAACAGACTGAGAACACTAGACTGTGCACTCTAGTGATCTGTAAAGTGTGGAGATCAGTGAGAATGTAGTTATAACCTGTAAGTGGTCAATAAATCCAACTATCCAAAACCCCATTTTCAGTCGCCCCTATATGTGACAATATGTTTCTAAAAACGTTTAAGTGTAAGTGAAAGCTACTGTCTAACCTTGAAGCTGAACCTACAAACTACTGCTTGGTGACACAGAAGGTCAGCACAACTGCAGTTTGCCATCTGCATCAGCTTAAAGTAACTATTCAGATCTGATTCAAAGTTAACCAGAACAAGCAGAAGCCCCAATTCAAGGTTTCTCTAGGAAGCAATAGTTTTGAACACTAAACTGATATAAGAATCTAATGGACATAATATAACACTGACATTATTAACTTGCTATCACTGAAACCGAACACTAAAGTCCAGAACATTAAATGGGGAATCCACTGAATATTATTACAGTGCTGCAGTGTTTACATAGATAGAAATTAAATAACAAATAATTCTGAGCGTTGCTGTGTTCCCCCATCAAATAACTCACATGACAGCTGTGTCAGACTGGAACACAGGATCAATAGCAATTCCTTGTAAGTATATTGGAAAGAAATCACAAGTTTCATATTTCATGCTTATACTTGCCCTATCACTTCTACTAGTCAACATAAATAAGCTTTTCTGATGTTAAATGTGTATGAAAAGAGGAATATTATGAACAATGTTGTTTCTTTGTATGGCAGATATGTTATGTATATATAAAATTCACAAGAAAATGAGAGTTTATTCCTCTGAGCCTGCTTTCCTCCAATTCCACTGTAGCTCATATGTGCCTGAATTTATTGAGCCTGCGACCTATATTTATATAAACACTTTTATTTGTTTTTGATGAAGGTATACTCTCTTTTTAATATTGCCACATAATTAAGACACATACTGCAGAAATGTAAGTATCTACTAAACATTAACAAATGGAAAGTAATGTCTCACATTTGAGCAGTGGACTTAAAATCAAGTCTTCTGAAGGGATATCCAAATTCAGAGTGAAGCTAGCTACACATATGCAGGCCAAAGCCTAGAAATGTATCTTACAAATGCATTTCTTTTTTATGAATAATGTAGAGTTTACATTGGTTTTACATATCTTTCATGAAGAATTTAACATCCAGATTCAGTTATGGAGTAATACTGCCAGTTTTGTTAATATGTTATGATATTAGTATCCTATAAAAATGTATCATTAAGACTTAATATAACTTCAATAAACAATAACAATTATGGCATATGAGTTTCAGTTTCAGCTTAAACTATACTCAGAGATTTCTTAAACATTTGTAAAAGAAGAATGTTAGCCAGAAAAATGTTACTTTAAAGACTGGAGGGGGAAATCATCTTCTAAGCAAGCACAATCAGGAAAACAAAAAAACTTTGCACTTACAGCTGCAAAATGAGTCGTACTTCTTGGAAACATTTACATTTTGAGGTTTCATAAGAGTGGCTGTTTATTACAATTTTGTAACTTCACCAGCTCTGTGTATGAAAGAGTCATGACTCTTAATGAGAGAAGGGGTTCAGTGAATGAAATATTAATGAGCTGATGTCAGTTTCAGGCAATGGTCTGTTACACTTCTGTGTAGTTCTACTGTTGGCTTTGCAGTTCTACTTGCTTCCTGCAAATTTTTTTTCTCCAGTGGAGTAATAGCAGAGATATAAATAACCTGAGTGGAGTGTTTGACCAAAATAACTGTGCATATATTCCATGCGATGGATAGCCAAGTGCCAGCCCACCCACACACCTTCTAACTTTGTACTGCAAAAACTGAATCAAAGCACAATGTCAGTACCTCCTTCCCCATTTCAAAGCACATCTTAGTTCCAATATAGCATTGCTTTACCACAACATTTGTAAAAGAATTTCAAAACTGAAAAGCATGCTAGACAATGGAGCAAAAAAAAAAAAAACAGTTGGAAGAAAGAATCACATCTTCTGGTATGTATCGCTGTGTGGTCCAGTAGAAATTCAGTGAAATTTCAAAGAAAGTGCCTTGACCTTCAGGCATTACATCCCAGAAGTATCCCCCTTCATAGTCACTGCTGGAAGAACCTGAAATTCAACAATTGGAAGAAAGCTTCTCATACTAATTATCATCATCACTGTCACTGTCATGAATCAGGCCTTTTCTGAGTCTAGATGTAATTCTTAGTCTGCTTCAAAGAAGTTTCTTCAGAAACCTAAAACGGATAGTCTGACCAGTGGATTCTTTTTTGTATAATTGTCATGTTTAATAGATATTTTATATGATTCGGGAGTTGAATTGGGATGGACAGGCACTACTGTAAACTGTATTTCATTGTTTTCTTTCAGTCAATAAGAAAAATGTGAGATATTTTATCCCTAAGAAGCGATTAAATAAAATAACTTTCTTGATTTTTCTATATCATATCTCTTTTCACATATGTAACTGTTAATTCTTAGATTACCTTTAAAATATTATGTTAAATTTTATTCAATTGTATATGCAAAAAGTGAAGCTTCATAAAAACATCTATGATATACATTATTTTTTAATACCAGAACCCAAGTTAACACCAAACTC